CCCAGCTTGGTTCCACTTCTTTCAGAAAATATCACGACTCCTGAACATGTTTGAAAAGTCTTGATGGTAATCCACTGCAAATAAACTCTTCCCTCCCTCCCACTAATCCAGAATCTCTCATTTGTATGGATATACATCCAAGAGGGGGGGGGGGAGGCAACAACGACAACGACACGGGACACACGACCTTATTCCCCAGACCTCAGAAACAAGCAACAATCTGTATAGAGAAGATTGTACGATGGTAACAAGCTTACACACACTTTAAAAAGGTGCCTTAGCCGGGTGGCGGCTAAGGGATAAGGCACAGGCCTTTAATCCCAGCACTCGGGAGGCAGAGACAGGTGGATCTCTGTGAGTTCAAGGCCAGCCTGGTCTACAAGAGCTAATTCCAGGACAGGTGCCTCCCCCCAGCCAAAAAAAGGTCTTAAACATATACAGAAACTCGGAGGTTTAATTGTGCACTGACTGAAGGCTTGGGAAACAATCTGGATTTCAATAGGAAATAACTGGCCAAAAAAGGGGACACCTATTTGGAAGAAATATAGCCCTTAAAACCTAAACATTATAGTCAGAACTTTTTTTTGAGACAGGGTCTCACTTTGTAGCTTTAGCCTGCCTCTACCTCCCCAATGCTAGGATCAAAATATCACTCTTTAAATGCTACATAAGTTGGAGCTGCAGCTAAAAGAAAGTTATATATGAAATGCAAAGAGTTTTTAAACTATTAGTTTTGACACAAATGACTGTGTGTTCTGAAGAAAAAAAAAACGGGGGAGGTAGAAATTATCACTAAATTATCTTTGAAATGTGAAAACGATGAATAATCTATAGGGCCCCGAGAAACAAGAACTTAAAACTCGCCCAAATTACTTAAAACATTATATATCCATACTTAGACCTCCCTACAAACCTAAGTTGACATCTTTCCTTCCTCTTAAATTTTATGAAACAGTTACTAGACCGTCTGAATCTCAGGGTTTTGGCGGACACGGAAAAACAAGAATTAACAGGTTAAACAGCTAGTAAGTGGGAGAAATGGGTTTGGAACCAAAGCTGGGACGCTAATTCTAGATCACCTTCATAAGCCCCGTCGGGTACTGAATTTCCAGAAACCTTTTTTACACACTGGGAAGCAGCGTCAGCCGTAAAACCTCTTAAAAGGAGCCTTTGCTCACGGCAGAAAGGAGACTCTAGAAAGCCACTAAAACAGGTCAGAAATCAGAGGAGAGGGGCTGGGAAGGAGTGGCGAAAGCACAAAGACGGGAGAGGTCCGAATTCCCAGCCGGGCTGGTGGCACCGGTGAGCGAGCGGGAAATTGACTCCGCCTCACTTCCCTCGCGCGAACAGTGGCTCAGTCAGCGCCATTGTGGGCTCTCGCCACTAGACGTCCAGCTCCGGCCACCTTACCTACTCCTGTCCCCTCCAGCGTGCCCGGCCTGACGCCGAAGCGTGGCCGGACGGGCTCCAAGGCCGAAGGCCTAGGCCGCAAGGATACACGTTAAGACGTTGTCCCATGTCCTGGAGTAGATTGGCCGCCTGCTGGCGATAAGATAGTTCTTTATCTGAGTCCACGCCGAAACGACGCGACGGGCTATTTTCCAGCTGTTCTCGAGTAAAATACCACCGTTTGTTGTTGTTCTTCCTCTCTCCCTCCATAGTGCTTCAACCAAAAGGCAGCGGCGGGGGCTGCAAGCACTTCCCAGCGTCACCTAAGCGGCGACACACATCCGCTGTGCCGAGACAACTGCGACGTGACGAACTTCCTCCAAGAGCCGACTGCCAGGCTGTGACATACTTCCGCCCAGGAAGCAGAAGATTCAAGCGCCTACTTCCGGAATGAACCCTCCGACACCCTGTAGACGAATCAACAGCCTATCAGCGACTAGGACCGAAGTCACGGCCAGGACGCAGGCGCGGGTCACGTGACTCCGGGGCGGTCTTCAAAGTTGTTCTTTAAAAAATCTCGCCTTTTCCCGCGATAACTGTGCCGAGTCCGCCTAGCCGATGGCCTCTGCCTGCTGCCTATCACAGTGCCTGGGTCTTTCCCGAAGCCCTCGCGTTGGAAGCCCCTTTATAAAAGTGGGCTAGCCTGACGGTGGTGGCGCTCGCCTTTAATCCCAGCACTCAGGAAGCAGAGGCAGGTGGGTCTCTGAGTTCGAGGTCAACCTGGTCTGCATAGAGCTAGTTCCGCGACAGCCAGAAACCCTGTCTCGTTTCGATGTGTTTGGGTGCTTTTACTTGGCGATGAGGGTCTGTCTTTTTTTTTTTTTTTTTTTTTTTTTTTTAAGCGGGGCCTATTGTGTATCCTTGGCAGCCCTGGAACTCACAAATCCAGTGGTGGTCGACTGAGTGTTGGGATTAAATGCGTGCGACACGCTAGTCTCTAGTACTCCGACTTAAATATAATTTCATTTAGGTGACAAGGCCTTTTCTCTTGCTTTACTTTTGCAGGGAAAGCGATATGCTTGCCAGTGCAGATTCCAGACGTTCAGTTAGGTCCCAAATGTATGGCAGGCGGCGGCCAGATCAATAGTTCTAGGAAACCCAAACCTTAGGGAAAGATTATCAAGCGAAAGAGAACAAGAGATAATCAGTGCGCTGGACTCACTCCTAGGTCCGCTTTGTGAGGCTGTAAAAAGCAAGCTGGGCTGCTGTCTACCTCACCCTCCTGTCCACTCCAGGGCTGCTTCTGTCGCTGCATTCAACTCTTCTGATGTTCACACTATCTTAAATCACAGATCTATGAGTGGCCTCACTGTTTGTTTACCAAAAGCCCACCATACCCACCATTGGACCATCTCAAAGATTTGGGGCTCTGATTTTTGCTCTAGAAGGCCTCTAGGACTTGTGTGTGTGTGTGTGTGTGTGTGTGTGTGTGTGTGTGTGTGTGTGTATTTATATGTATGAATGTGAGTGAGGGTCCCCTCGAGATGGCTCAGCAGGTAGAGAAGGCTGCTGCCAACACTAACAACCTAAATTCCATCCCTGGGACCCCATGGTAGATGAAAGGAGAGGACTGACCTGCAAGGTGTCCTCTGACTGCCCCAAATGCACTGAGGCACGTGCAGGAAACGTAAATAGTTTAGAAGTAGCCAAGGATCTACTAATGGATAAACTAAAACTGCCTCTACAGTGTGGAAAGTTCCACCACCATGTGGGAAATCTCTAAATTCAGGCTTCTGGGTTATTAGACCAGCTCCAGGTCTAATGGCTTTTCCACCTAAGCAAGATAATTAACCCCTCTTAGTCTGCCCTCCCTGCACTTGCCCCTCCAACTCCAGTGGAGACTGAATTTAGATCCTTGTGCTTATGCTGTAGGCAGCCCTGCTTGATTTGTTGTTTTAAATTGGCTAAATTGGTCTTGAACTTACTACTTTGGCCAAGTAGGCAAGCATTGAGCTTGTGAACTTCTGGGCTCAACTTCCTACATGTTCTTCCATGATTAGCAAACTCATAATGTCTATAAAATATTTGTGGTATGCCAGGCAGTGGTGGCGCACACCTTTAATCCCAGCACTCGGGAGGTAGAGGCAGGCGAATCTCTGTGAGTTCGAAGCCAGCCTGGTCTGCAAGAGCTAGTTCCAGGTTAGGGTCCAAAGCTACAGAGAAACCCTGTTTCCAAAAAACAACAACAACAACAAAAATGTGGTATAGGGCAGGGTGTGGTGGTGCACCCCTTTAATCCCAACAGTCAGAAGGCAGGAAGATCTCTTGAGTTCAAAGCCAGCCTATAGGTTTACACATGTCACAGTGTAAGACTAAAGGTCAGAGGACAAATTTAAGGTGTTCTTTCTACCACGCAATCCAAAGATTGAACACAAGGTCATCAGGCTTAGTGGCAAGCACCTTTACCCACTGAGCAATCTCACTGATCCTCAAATGAAGTTTTTAAATAAAACTTGAGTTTTACCAAAGCCTAACCATGAGGGATAAGAATTAGCCAACTTCAGTTTTCTCTACCCTTACTCTATTATGTAAGGTAGAAGAAATATTAAACATTTAAGGTCACTGCCTAGGGAAGAACAAGTTTAGCAGAAGACTGGGAAATCCAGCTAGGCAGATGGTCAGTCAGTATTGTCCTTGTGCAGAAGAATGAGAACCCGAGTTCAGGTCTCCATCACCCATGCCAAAAAAAAAACAAAAAAACAAACAAACAAAAAAAACTGGGTACCATACCAATAATCACAGAGTTGGGGAAGTAATCCCAGAATTGGGGAGACAGAAAGAAAAATCCTAGGTTTGATGGCCAGATAGTCTAGGCAAATTGACGACCCTTCAGATACAATAAAAAGCCCTTTCTCAAGTGGCCTCCAACACCTGTATCTGCAGCCAACAGTGAACATCTCCAAAGCCTAGCCATATAAAGATAAAACCTGAGCCTTACATAACATGTTCTGTCCTTGCTTGAAAAGCAAAACCTGGAAGCATCAGAACCAGGTACAGTGGAATCTTAGGATTTCAGATTGGGAATTTAAAATAACTTGATAAGTAGGCAGGGCAGAGTGGCACTCATCTTTAATCCCAGCACTTGGGAGGCAGAACAGACGGATCTCTGACTTTGAGGCCACCCTGGTCTACAGAGTGAGTTCCAGGACAATCAGAGCTACACAATGAGGTTAGGAAGGAGACACGGGGCTGGAGAAATGGCTTAGTGGTTAAGGGCACTGGCTGCGCTTCCAAAGGACCTGAGTTCAATTCCCAGCACTCACATGGCAGCTCACAGATGTATATAGCTCCGTTTCCAGGAGATCTGGCATCTTCATACAGAGATACATGCAGGCAAAATAGCAATGCACATAAAAATAAATAAATTTGACTGGGCGGTGGTGGCGCAAGCCTTTAATCCCAGCACTCGGGAGGCAGAGGCAGGTGGATCTCTCTGAGTTCGAGGCCAGCTCTGGTCTACAGAGCAAGTTCCAGGACAGGCTCCAAAGCTATAGAGAAACCCTGTCTCAATGAAGGAAGGAAGGGAGGAAGGAAGAAAGGAAGGAAGGAGGAAGATAGAGGGTATTTGGAGGAGTTGAAGAGAAATAGTGGGGGGGTATATATGATCAAAGTACACTGTACAAATGTGTGAATTTTTCAAAGAATATTGTTTGGTTTGGTTTTTTATGTTTTTATTTTTTGGATTTTGGGGACAGGGTTTCTCTGTGTAACAGTTCTGACTATCCTGGAACTTGATCTGTACACCAGGTTGGCCTCGAATTCACAAATACCCATCTGCTTCTGCCTTCTGAGTTCTGTGATTAAAAATATGAGCCACCATAGCCTGGCAGAAATGCCTGTTTTAGATTCCTCAAGTTTCCTGAAATCATTTAGCCCATTCAATTCCAACTCCATGATGGCCTATAAATCCTGAGCCTCACTGGACAAAGGAAATGTCAGTCAAGGTAATTCTTTAAGACATTACCATGGTTACTAGAACCCAGCACTACAGAGTAGACATTCTGAGAAGAAGGCACCGAGATGGCTTTCTTCAACTTGCATCTATTAGGATATCAACATTCCCTTCGGAATAAAAAGAAAATCACAACTGAAGAAACAGGTAAGGAGAATCTAGTGTTCTGGGACAGAGGGTCACGCCTTCCCTAGTCACCTCCTCGTCATTTCCTTTCCTAGCAGGCACCCTAGAGATGCATCTTTCAGTATCAGCTGTCACCATAGTTAAATTACACAGCAGGGACAGAAGCCATTTGACTTGACTTTCTGTTACTTCATATTCTTATTAAGATAAACACTTTGTTCAACCAAATGATCTAATTCATCTAGCCAGCATTAACACCAACTAATCATGGGTCTGTGGTTTATGTTGGTGACTAAGGGCACAAAGATGGATAGAAGAAAGCCTCTACTACTGTTATTAGTCACAGCTTTCTTACAGAATGAATACATGTGCATATATAAAGGGAATTTATTGGAATGACTAACAGGTTACAGTCCAACTAACCCAACAATGGCTACCTGTAAATGGAAGTCCGAGTAGCTGCTCAGTCCCACAAAGGTGGGTGTCTCAGCTGGTCTTCTGTGTATGCTGGAATCCCGAAGTAGGCTCCAAATGCCAGTAAAGGAATGGGCATGTTGGGAAAGCAAGGGCAAGCAGACAAAGAACAGATGAACCCTTCCTTCTTCCAGTGCCCATATATAAGTTTCCAGTAGAAAGTGTGGCACAGGTTAAAGGTGTGTCTTCCTGCCTCAAGAACTGGATTAAAGGCATGTGTCATCCAGCCTCAAAATCTGGACCAAAAGCCTGTGTCTTCCTGCCTCGGGATCCAGAACAAAGGCCTGTTGTCTTCTTGCCTCAAGACCCTTTTACAAATGTGCCCTTCATTTCTGGATTGTAGTTTATTATTGATATAGTCAAACTGACAACCAAGAATAGCCATCACAACTATAGAGAAGCTGACTATCTGATGAGGAAGATAAGTAGTCATATAAAATTTGTAATATAGTATATGAATAAAGTAAATATGGACTGTTAACCTCAAAGGAGTAAATACCTGATACTATAGAGTTTTAAAAACAAGCCGGGTGGTGATGGCGTATGCCTTTAATCCCAGCACTCAGGAGGAAGAAGCAGAGGCAGGCAGATTCCATGAGTTCGATGCCAACCTGGTCTACAGAGTGAGTTCCAGGACAGGCCCCAAAGCTACAGAGAAACTCTGTCTTGAAAAACAAACAAAAACAACGAAGGAAGACTTAAGAGACATTCTCATAGGAAATGTCTCCAGAAACAAGTGTGAAAGTTGATTGAAGTTAATCAGGTAAATAAGAAGGGAATTAGCACTGAAAAGGGAATAGAGACTTAGATCCATATTAAGTAAATCCCAAGAATTTAGACACAATGATGGGTAAAGTAGGTACTAGGAAGCAGACCTGGAAAACAAGGCCACGGCCAGCTAATTGAGGATGCTACCAACCATAAGAAGTATTTTAACTTTATAGAGAACCATTGAAAAATTTTAGTGTATATTTGATTACATTATATTTACAATGCCTGTCAGGCCTCATAGAGATGTTGCAAGATTTTTTTTATCACAATGTGAACCCCAAGATTGCATTAGTTACTGGAAAAATACCTGTTTCTAGTGATGTGGCTCAGCCCTAGCACATACCTTTAATCCAAGAGCTTTCTTCTTGAATATTGTAAACAGGATCAAAGTTAATCGCAGTTCAAGTGCAAAGCAGGCAATCGGTTGACAGGAAGTGAACATAGAATTATGAAGAAAAAACATAGAAAGCAAGAGGGAGTCAGGAGGATGGATAGAGAGATGCACGGGAAGTTGAAGGGAGAGACATCCAGTTTGAGGAAGGTGGTTGGATACAGTACGGGAGAAGGAAAAGGCTTCTGGGACATTGCCAGAGGAGGAAGATCAGCTGGGTGCTTTCTCTGCCTCTCTGAGCTAGCAGGCTTCCACTCCGGTGTCTGGCTCTGAAGTCTTTATTGTTAAAATCAAACAATTGAGATTTTGTTAAAAACAACATTTGGGCAGAGTAGTGGTGGTGCAGCCTTTAAACCTAGGACTCAGGAGGCAGAGGCAGGTAGATCTCTGTGAGTTTGAGGTCAGCCTGGTCTACAGAGCGAGTTCCAGTTCAGTTAGGACCGTTACACAGGGTTGCAGAGGAACCCTGTCTCAAAAAAACAATAAATAAATATAAATAAATAAATTTGGTGCTCTAACTCATGGCACAACCACACAGACAGTGAAATTGTGCCAGCTGTGGACAAACTGAGAAGCCATCAGATTTGGTAAAACACCTAGGTAGTCCTCAAGGAAAGAGTCAAATAATATTAAAAGTAAAAAAACTTTTCCCACATTAAGGATGGGAAATATCATAGCATGGGGCATTAGGACCCAGTATAATGCTACTTTAGATGACTTGAAAATAAAAGCAGAAAATGAAAAAAATCAATGACTTAACTGAGGTTGACATAATACCAATTATAATTACTACCAATCTGGTAATTCATATTTTATCCTTAATAGCCATAGTGCTTTTTGTGCTAAATATGAAAAGTGGTTTGATAATTGTGCCAAATATGAAAAGTGACAAGGCTTGACAAGATACAAGCCTTAGAAAGACTTACAAATGAAAATAAGAAAAATACTCAGACACAGACAGAGGAATTAGACAAGAACCTACCACACCACTACATGATAAAATTGAAGAGGGGCAGCCCAATGTTGTTAGAAAACCAACTTTAGTTTATCCAATTACTGTACAAGAATGACCAGCAGGGCTGGAGAAATGGCTCAGAGGTCAAGAGCATTGCCTGCTCTTCCAAAGGTCCCAAGTTCAATTCCCGGCAACCACATGGTGGCTCACAACCATCTGTAATGAGGTCTGGTGCCCTCTTCTGGCCTGCAGACATACACACAGACAGAATATTGTATACATAATAAATAAATAAATAAATAAATAAATAAATATGTTTTTAAAAAAAGAATGACCAGCAGGTGATAGGCACTCCCAAAGTTATGAAGAAGTTAAATGGAACCCTATAGAAATGTTATCTTTGAAGAGATTTAAGAAAGCAGTCATTTCTTATGATATTCATTCACCCTGTGTAAAGCAGATGTTAAATTCATGGGCAACTCAGAAGAGAATTATCCTCTAAGACTAGAAAGATTTGGCAACAGCAATATTGGAACCTGGTCCTAGTTACAATGGCAAACATGGTGGAAAGAGGAAGCTAGGGCCATTGAACAACAAAACACATAAACTTGGCACAAGCTAGAATTATCTGGAAGGAGGGAACCTCAATTGAGAAAATGCCTCCATAAGATTTGTAGGACGTTTTCTTAATTAGTGACTGATGGGAGAGGGCCAGGCCCACTGTGAGTGGTGCCACCCATGTGCTGATGGGCCTGGGTCCTATAAGAAAGCAGGCTGAGCAAGCCATGAGGAGCAAGCCAGAAAGCCTCACCCCTCCAGGGCCTCTGCATCAGCTCCTGCCTCCAGGTTCCTGCTCTGCTTGCGTTCCTAACCCAACTTCCTGCAGTGATAGACTATGATATGAAAGTATAAGTCAAATAAACCCTTTCCTCCCCAAGTTGCTTTGGTCAAGCCCAGGTGGTAGGAGGTAGAGGCAGGTGGACCTCTCTGAGTCCCAGGCCAGCCTGGTCTACAGAGCTAGTTCCAGGATAGCTAGGGCTGTTACACGGAGAAACCCTGTCTCGAAAGATTAAAAAAAAAAAAAGAGGTTGCTTTGGTCATGTAGTGTTTCATCACAGCAACAGTGACCCTGGCGAGAACAGTCCTCTACGAGATGCTCCTATTTACCCACTGTGGTGTGGTAGCATCAGAGGCCAGAGCTTTGTCCAAACTGGTGGCCTAGATAGAATTTAAGGCTAGAGGAAAGACTGAACTGCAATTATTCTTGCCCACTGCTTACTTCCCCTAGCTTCAGTTTTATACATTCGGGGTACTCCTTTAAGATACAGACTGTGCTGGGGTGGGGGTGGGGGGGCTGGAGAGATGGCTTAACGGTTAAGAGCACTGGCTGCTCTTCCAGAGGATCTGAGTTCGATTCCCAGAATCCACATGGCGGCTCACAACCATTGTAATGAGATCTGGCGCCCTCTTCTGGCCTGAAGGTGTACATGCAGTGCACTCGTACATAAAATATAAATTTAAAAAAAAAAGATACAGACTGTGCTGGGAAGATGATCGACCGTGATGAAGTGTTTGTTGTGGAAACATGAGGACCTGAGTTTGCATCCTCAGCATCCACATAAGACGATGGGGCAGAGCACAGCTGTAAACCCAGCACGGAGGGGTATGAAGATGGGCAGACCTGCAGGGTTCATTAGCCAGCCCGAACCAGAAGGGTGAAGTCCAGGTTCATTGAGAGACTATTTCGAAAAATTAAGGTAGAGGGAACTAGAGAGATGGCTCAGAGAGATGCTCTTGCAGAGGACGTGGTTCAATTCCCAGCACCCACATGGCAGCTCACAACCATCTGCAATTCTGGTCAGTCCAGCAGATTCAACACTCTCTCCTGGTCTCTGCAGGCACCAGACACACAAAAAGTGCACAGACAAACATGCAGATACAGCAATCATACACATAAAAATTAAATTCAAAAAGTCAAAGTGGAGAGCAATAGAAGATACCTGAAGTTGGCCTCTGCCCTTCTCTCTCTCTCTCTCTCTCTCTCTCTCTCTCTCTCTCTCTCTCTCTCGAATTGGAATTGCAGACAGCTTTTAGCTATCATACAGGTACTAGGAACTGAACCCAGGTCCTAACTAACGTTTGATAAGTAACTATCAAACTATGTGTACTTAGATTTCTAAACATAGAATGACTTTCTTCAAGCCGCATGCATAGTTTCTATGGATGAAGAACTCTAGGTTGGAAATCTTCAAGGGGTAGCTTTACTACTTTAGTTTCCTGTTAGGAGCCTTTCTGAAACTTCTAGATTTCTATTCCCTAGTGTTCTGAAACACTGTGATGACAGAATGTAATGTAGCTCGCTCTTCATGCTTTGTGACAGACAGTCCTGGTTCTTCCGTCCCAGAAGTCCATGCTATTCTTTCCCAAGGA